TTTTACACAGTCATCAGACTGACGGAGGCATAGACAGACACGTGGCGAGGCTAGTAGCATACACGTGACGTCGATGTGGCGGCGCGCTTCGCTGTCGACTGTCCGGGTTTTGTGAGAGCCAAGTCAGGGTATTCGATTGATAGACTGGTGACAACCTAATCCATCGATGCGCACTCTGAACATCCACTCTTAATCGATATTCGATCGATCAGTCCATGACTTAAGAAAAGAATTCACTTTAGCAGTCAAGCGAATCAATTACCCGGTTAGGAAATTATCGAGGTCGACCAATAAACTGGTCATCTCTCTGTTGAATGTTTTAATCCGTCAATCCATTAATCGCTTGTCCTACGTGATTAATCGATTGATTGAATCAGTCATCTGTCTATTCATTTGTTCTTTTCAGAAATCGATCGATCACAACTTCATATCATTGATAGATTGATTGAAATCAGTTGATTGATCAATCAATCAACCAATCAATCAACTAGTCAATAACTCAACTAGTGAATCAATCAACTAGTCGATCAATCAACTAATCAATCAATCAACTAACCAATCAATTAACTAATCAATCAATCAACTAATCAATCAATCAACTAATCAATCAATCAACTAATCTATCAAACACTAGGTTGCTTAACAAATCAATCAGTCAAGCAAATTTGGAATGACTCATTCGATGATATAACGGACAAATTTTTAATTTTATGTTTTCAACGGACAGATTTATATTTACATATAATTACTATATTACATCTTTACAAGGGAAATTTGTGAGAAAAGTGGATGGCCATGCCAAAAGGTCTCGTCCGACTACCAATTCTCCAAAAAAGAGTTTGATGTGGGAGAGAAAAAAAAAAAAAAAAAAAAACTCTTCGCGACAACAGCCTAAACCCTCGACCGCATGAATGGTTTTTTTTTTTCTTTTTTTCCGACGAGCTTTTCTAAATCNAAAAAAAAAAAAAAAAAAAAAGCTTAACCGGACATCAATATGAATGCACCCAGATCCCAAAAAAGCATGATTTTCGACCTACGCTAATACAAAAAAAATGAATTAAGGAAAAAAACAAAAAAAGGCGAACGAGCCAATCTATCAAAGCATCCCCCTCTATCAAAATACCTTTGTCAAGAGTAATAACGACAGTCTTTGGTCATCAACAGATTTAGAAGGGGAAAAAAAAAAAAAAAAAAAAAAAAAAAAAAAGAAACGGTAAAAAAAAAATCAAAAAACACCGATGGGGGCCTCTCCTTTCCCACCAGACGGCTGCTAACTTATATTCAAAAAAAAAAAAAAAAAAAAGCGAAAAAGCCCGAAACAATCCGAAAACTGACTACATTCAATGTCCACAGTCGATCCGGCGATATGCTATTTCAACATATTTCTTTGCTCATCTACGATTCTCTCATTCCTTTTCCCCTTTTTTTTTTTAAATATCCTGCTCTCATAAGAAGAGGAAGAAGAAGACAATCAATGGCCAATTTCTTCTGCACACGCTCTCAATAAAGACTCTGCATTACTTATCCTGCGTGTTCACATGCTCAAACCGCACTAAGCAGGGCCTTCTTTTTGCCCCCCCCTAAGCCTCGTATTTCTCTTGTTGCACCCCCTGTTCTCCTATCTACCCTCTCGTTCCTTCTCCCCCTCACTTACAAACTGAGCACCAAAAAAAAAAAAAAAAAAGAGAGAAAAAAAACGATACTCCTAGCAATCAGCATCTAAATGGCTATGGTGGGTCTCGTCTCGTTCTAGACGGCCATCAGCACGGGATTATCACCAACACGTCCAGAGACTCGTGTTTTAAAAAAGGACAAGTGCACGGATCTGGGATTACGACCAAGATTCGTCTCCTATCACGACGGCATGGACACGTGTACCGATCTGGAACTACGACCAGATTCGTCTTCTGTCACGACTGCATTCTCCCACAAGGACGACTACATTCGTCGGTGCTTACGACTACTTCCGTAGTAGATTCGGCTGCAATTACGACTGCATTCGTCTTCAAATGCGACTAGATACGGCCATGGCACCACCGTCTTCGTCTCCCTATGCTCCTTTCTGCAGAAGCTGGTTGTGAAGAAGGCGGCTCCAATGGGTTCGACGGCGATGGCGGCTCCAATGGGTTCGACGGCGATGGCGGCTCCAACGGGTTCGACGGCGATGGCGCTGTGATGAATTCGACGGCGATGGCGCTGTGATGGATTCGACGGCGATGGCGCTGTGATGGATTCGACGGCAATGGCGCTGTGATCGATTCGACGGCGATGGCGATGGCGATGGCGCTGCGATCGATTCGACGGCGATGGCGATGGCTATGGCGATATCTCCCGGGTTCTCTCGTCGTCGCTCTCGAGAGCGAAGGCCGACGACGGGAAGAAACACGTTCCCGTCCGCCAAAGCGCGGGAGTGTCTCGAGCCACATATAAGAGTAGGAGACTAAAACGTTGAAAAGGAAAAAAGAAAACAAAAACAAAACGAGTGCCCACCTCAATTAGCGCACTATTCTTTCGCCTTTTACTCCCAAAAAGAAAAATATATATATATTCTTTCGCCTTTTACTAAAGAATACCGTGGGGTGAGCACGCTAAGCAGCTTACACAAATTTTTACCGGCCCCTCGCTCCGTCGAAAAAAAAAAAGAAAAAAGAAAAAAGACCGTCGATTTCAAGTGAGAGCTCGCAAAAGAAAAAATGAAAAAAAAAGGGAGCTCACGGGCCTCCGTTCTTCAAAATGAAGAGATTCTTGGTTTGGGACCGTCGATTTTGTTCTTTTCTTACTTTTTTGCTTTCCTTTTCTGCAGGAAAGACACGTACATTACGAGTATCTCCCCCCGCGGAGGAAGGGCCTAGTAGGTAGTTGCACCCGTCGCCATCCGCTAAGGATTTTGAATGCATCTGGACGATATGTTATCCAGGTGCGTCCAAAATCTTGGGGGACGGCGAGTGGTTGCAACTACTTCGTAGGCCCGAACACAGGATTCGCCACGAGGGCAAGGGCCCACTTCCCCACCTTACTACTCGCCATCCGCCAACATTTTGATTGCATGTGGTCATCATTAATGTCCAGATACATTCGAAATCTTGGCGGATGGCGATTAGTTCAACTACAGTAGGGCCTTAATCTGTGGCCATCGATTTAACCTTGTCGACGGTAATAACTGGTGGTGGATGGCCATGACAGTCTGAATTCCCCGCCAATACGTCGGCACCTCAGTCGAATTGAAGGGCCTCGCCGCACTACGCGCCATCCGCCAACATTTTGATCGCATGTGGACATCACTGATGTCCAGATGCATTCGAAATCTTGGTGGATGGCGAGTAGTGCAACCAGGGCCGAAATGGGACTCTAGACGGCAGTTTTTTCGACACGACGTGGGGGCCCGCCAATCCTTTCCCCTACTACGAGTTGCGGCTCTAGACGGCAGTTTCTTCGACACAAAAATCAAATTTAAAATTTAAATTAACAAAAACAAATGTGAGAAAACTCACCGCCACAAATGAAGTTCGTGGTTCGTTTCAAATTCAAAAAAAAAAAGGGTTCGTGGTTCGCGTTGTGCGTGTAATGGCGCTCTGTGCTTGTACGAGCCCCGGGTCGTGGTCCCACTAGCAAAGAGGATCGGGGGCAAGGTCCCACTTGCACGGATTAGGAGAATCTGGCCGTTGATCTGTGCCATCTACGCTCAATATAGCTTATTATTTCATGTAAGGCCTGGACCCCACACGTTTGCGCTTCGGAAAAGTTTTGCCGCAGAACTTTTCCGGGACCCCACAGCCCTCCGCGGAATGCCTGGAAGGCCCGTTGTTTTTCCGCGGAATGGTTTTCCGGGACCCCACAGGCCCGGCGTGGAAAACCGGGGATTGGCGTTTCCACATGGTTTCCGGGCTGGAAAAGTCCCGCGGGAGCAATTTCCGCCGCGAAATTGTGCAGGGTAGCAAGGGTGGTAGGGGGCGACGTCGGTGATGTTTCCAAGGTTGCGGACGGGTGCCGGACTTTCGTTTGTCCAACTCGTGGAACGTACGTTCCTGGAACCACCACGGCCGGCCGGCCCGTGTCGCCCACTCACCGAGGCCAGAGGCCGACAGGGCGTCGATAATGGGTTCTGCGTGATGGTCCCCAACTGGAGGCAACGGCAAGCGCGGGACGGCCCGCCCGATTTTCGAAATTCGAATTTCGAATTCCTGTGGCAGGCCCCAGTGTCGTTCACGTCATCCTGTAGCCCGTGTGCTTCACCTGCTCAACGCTGAAACTCCTCGTGACGACGGCCAGTCACGTAGCGCGGCTGCATGCACAACATACGACGTCATCATTGCCATCGCAAAACAGCCAACCATATCCGCCCTTCCCCAATACACCAACTTTCCCATGCACAGAGCTGCGTTCCTCCATCGCTGTGGTGAGGCGTGGTTGCTCATTCGCGACCACGCGCATGGTCTGGCCCACCGGTTCCTGCACATCGCGAGACCGTCGGAGGCGACGTCCGTCCCCTCTGCTGCTCGGCGAGGACGACGCACGGCAGGGCGATGTCACTCTGACCTCGTTCCACGGCAGTGTTCTCACACCCCCGCGGGAGATGTGTCCTCCGTCCTGCGTGCCTCCCGTACTTCCTCCATACCGGGTGCTTGGAGAACGTGGTCGCAAGCACACGCGGACATCGTTCCTGCAGTTCCCCGAGTTGTTCCAGGGGTGACCATTCGTGGCAGTCCCATACAACATCGGGACGGAGGGACTTGTCGAAGGAACGAGAGAGAGCAGTGCGTGAAGGTGGCGGCAGTGCCATACCCGTCGCGAGCTTTCGCATGTGTTCATGAAGTGCGCGAGGGCGGCAACGTGCCTGTTGTCATCTTTTTCGGTGGGGAGTGTCGGTGCCCGTGTGCCACAGGAGTCGTCGTGTGGGCGTTCGTTGTGGGAGTGGCGGTGCTGTTGGTTGTGCTTGCGCTGCTGGTCGTGTGTGCAGCCGCACTTCTCGTAGCCGTGTTTACGAGACGTCCGCGATCTCCGTCGACGATCGGTGATGCGAGGTGTGGGTGGTGCACCGACACGCATGGAGGGCCGGACGTTCACATCGGAGCTGTGCGGAGATGTCGGAGAACAGGCGAACATGGACATCGGGGAAGTGATCGGGACGCAGTTAGAGGGCGGTGGGTATAGGGCGAGTCTATCTGCACAATCGTGGCAGTACATGGACGACCATCCTTCCACCTTCTTGCCTCCAACACACGGCGGTGTGCACGGTTCGAACGGCCGACCCTCTCTCGCCATGCCAGTGCAGGATGTATCTGGATGCGGAGGTCGGGGTGCGTACCCGACTACAATGTACAACTACGGTATGCAGCAGGGTTCTAGTGGGGTGTATGGCCAATGTACGCAGCAGCCTCGTATGCGGGCAGTATCTCCGAGGACCGACTCCCCCAGATGGGGTTGTGTCCCCGAGCATTTTGTTCAGCCGTCGCAACATCGTCTGCAAGGTCTACCGCCACTATCTCCGCCGGTGAACAGTCGCACAACAACAATGGGTGAAGACAACAGTCCTGGACAGGCGAGGGCGCAGCAGACTGCAACGGGTGCATCGGGTACCCGGGCTGCGGGAGGGCCATCACACGGTGCCGGCATAGGGAGTGCACAAGAGCAGCAGCAACCACCGGGGATGGCGGAGCACGTCGTGGACGAAGTTGAAAGGCCACGATCTGTGTTGACGACAGGTGGCGAAGGTAGAACATCAGCGTCCCAGGGCACAGGCGGTGGTGGTGAGAAGAGAAAGGCCCCGGAGCCATCGCCGCAACCAAAGAAGAACAGCATATGGACGTTGGAGGAGCGAGTGTTGTTGGCGAAAGTAAGCGGCGAGTCGGGTTCTGGGGGATGACAAAGAAGGATGCTGGGCCTACGAGGCTGCTACCCCGATCTCCCTGCTCCCCTTCGACCCAACAGAATGGGGATGGGAGGGCAAAAAGCCATTGCCGCTGTGGAAATTCACCGTCAAAGACTGTTATAGGAAAATCCACAAAACGGTTGACACTGCCGACATTGTCAAACACCGGTGGCAGCGGGATGCATGCCCGACG